AGAGAGAGAGAGAGAGAGAGAGAGAGAGAGAGAGAGAGAGAGAGAGAGAGAGAGAGAGAGAGAGAGAGAGAGAGATCAGGAATCAGAAATAGCAAATACACAAAAAAACATTGAATTGGGTTCGTTACTGTGGAAGGGAATTGCAATTGCGCCTACTGACAAAGCAACGGCCAAACACGCCTGTTAGTGTGTGTACGTCCTCAGCCACTTATGTGTCGGAACCAACAATAGGCTCAGACTCGCAAGCCCATGTGGTGGAATGGTACACAACACACATACTATTATAGCTTTTGGTAAAGAGGTTATGGGTTCTAATACCCATGCACACATTCAACTGTTTATAAACAACAAGTCAGTTCAATTTCTGCATGATTAGATCGATGGAATAATATTAGAGGGCTTATCTCCTTGAGAAGTCAGGAAAAAATAAAATAGAAGACAAAAAAACTTGAGAAATACGCCCCACCTGAAGAAGTTCCTAGCGTACTTGTTAGGACATAAGGGACTGTTCACAAATAGGTCCGGGCTGCCGGATCAAACATTAGGTCCGGGCTGCCAATCCTGACATTGGGTCTGGGCTGCCGGTTCTGACATCAGGTCGGGGCCGCGAGTTCTGTCACAGGTCCGGACTGCTCCAACTGTTATAGGTCCGGGCTGTAACGCCTGGCGTAAGTGCCCGACTACAACTTCTGGTAGCCTATGGAACCAGACACGATGGAGCCACAACCGACCACGAGCGAAGCAGGAGAGGAGTACAGGGCATCGCCCGATCGAGCACTGAGGGATCTGAAGGAACGAATTAGGCAAGAAGCACCGCTGAGATGGGCTGACCAAACAAATGACGGAGGGCCCGACATGARAGGCGAACCAGTTGCGACAGAACCGCAGGAGGCTCTAAAGACGGGTACCTCGAGCGGACGACAAGAAGCGACGAGGCGGCGCTCCCCCGAGTACGCGCGGAGGGACACCATAGCGGACAGGTACAAAGACGACTGGAGAGAGAATTTGAGGGATTCCTATTGGAGGGACAGAGATAGAGACAGGGCGCCGCCCAGGCGAGTCTTCGACCCCCAGACAGGGGAGTCACATCCACTCCCTTACGAGAGCAAGGATCGTTATATTATTACGCACAAGGTCTCAGAGCCTCCTACCTTCAGGGGCTATGGTATCACAGAATATCTGGAGAAGTGGGAGCTTCACGCCAGCCGGAGTCAGTGGTCGGAGGAAGAGATTATAAATAATTTCCTATTTAATGTGGACCCAAGTCTTGGTAGGGGAGTTAAGGAAGCTCGACCGAAGGATGGGAAATGGACTACGTACAAGAAGAACCTCGTTGAGCTTTACAAATTGGAGGATAACAAGTATTCCATCAAGGACCTTGAAACGATGACTCAAGATGAAGATGAGAGCGTATGGGCATTTGGGATGCGTTTCCAAATGATCTCCGACGTGCTGATGAAGAAAGGGAAGATCTCAGAGGTCGAGCGCTGTACTATCTTCATCGGACACTTGTCCAAAGGTAGGCAAAATAGTATACTTAGAGACCTTCCGCGCGACAGGCTTGATTTTCCAGAAGTCCTAAAGCTCGCGATAAAGGCAGAGGCAGACGATTACAAGGACTTGGTGTGGAGAGGGATGAGGAGACGTGACTTCTCTCTCTACAAGGAGTATGCCACTGATAGATGTCTTGATTTTAAGGATTATCCCTGGTCGGGGAAGAATGAGGCCGTGGCTGAGGAAGTGAAGGAGATACGGGACATGGTGAAGGGATTAACGAGACATGTTACAGAGATTGTGACCACTACAGGGGCCACGGCCTACCGGGACAAACCTGGAAGGCCCTATTCACTTCGTTGGGACCGTAGGAACAATGATCCCTGGAGGGGTGTCGAGGATAGAAATCCTCAGATGTTGACTGATTATCGTACGAGGGGGAGAGAGAGAGACGATGAGCCATAGCGACGTAGGGACGATGAGATAGACCGAGACCGCAGAGATCGCGAGCCGTTTGTGCGAGCAAGGAGGCTGGATGATTACCCGCGAAGCCCTCGCTATGAGGCCGATCGGGGTAGAGGTGACTCCCGCGGCCGATGAGAGACAGGACAGGGCCGACGAGATGGATATAGGGACGACAGGTACGAGAGATCAGACCGAGATGGATATAGGGACGACAGATACGAGAGATCGGACCGAGATGGATATAGGGACGACAGATACGAGAGGTCGGGTCGAGATGGCCACAGAGGAAGTAGATATGAGAGAGGAGATCGGGACTGGGAACGACAAGATGGGTCGCTCGGACGGTTTGAGCGCGGGGGAGATGCGAGAGAGCAGCGTGACGAGTCGCGAGGATGGTACAACCGAGGGGACCGACGCGATGAGTCACGAGGACGATATGACTCGGGGAACCGCCAGAATGATTCGCGAAGGCGGTATGAGCAAGGAGGGTCTGGAGGAGACCGCCGCAACGATTCGCGCAGACGGAATGAGAGAGGGGGATATGGCGTCTTATCAGAACCATATCCTAAGTCGCCTGACCCCAAGGCGGCCAGGAATTCGATCTCTAGAGGCGCAGACGACAGGGCATCTCCTCCCAAGAACTCATGCGTCTACTGTAGAGGCCGCAAGTACGTCAAGTGGACAGATGATCTGCGAGATGTATCGATGTTCCCTTCGATGAAGGAGAATGTTGAAGCAAGGAGAATAAAGCCGAGTAAAGAAAAGGATCCGGTCAGGAGCCAGAGCATCAAGATAACCTTTGAGGGGGATATGGCGACCACACCCATAAGGGTGGCAGCCACCAAGTCGGCGAGAGGGTCTACATCGAAGAAGACTGACACATATTACGTGATGGCGGAGAAGGACGGACAGCGGGTCGATGGAGAGGAGGTTATCCTTTCGCCGCGGAAGCGGGGAGTGAAGAAGTTCTTAATGAAGAGTTCGCTGGACGAGATTGACACGGTCGAGCCGCTGAGGCGGCCCCTTCGACAACCCATGCAGTGCTTTATTCTGGAGTACCTGGCGACATCGAAGCCGGCTCGTGATGAGTTACAGATGATCACGCGGAAGACTCGCATACCTCTATCGAAGGAGGGTCAGGGGGCCCCTAAGTTGGAAGCTTCTACAGTAGCAGTAATGGGGGTGACTGCCAGAGCGGATCGCATGGCGACAGTCCTTCTCGATGGAATGGAAGGTATGCCTCCAGACAAGTTTTATATACTTGGTAGCGGGGCCGTGGAGACGATTATAAACGATGGAGCGGTACTCGATGCTGTGATTGATAATGACAGTGAGGCTGTCATCATAGACGAGGACCTGGCAGTACAGGTTGGACTGGGCCTCGATAGGTCATACCTATTCGAGATAGAGACAGCTGATGGAATAAAGCAACAGATCACTGGGGTTTGTCACAAAGCAGCCATAGAGGTCCAAGGGGTACGTGTGACCCTGCCTGTCTTTGCAGTCAAAAACTGCAGCTCCGACCTGCTCTTGGGTCGAACGTGGCTGAGCCACGTGCATGCGGTGACGATAGAGCGACCTGATGGGAGCCAAACATTGTCCATTAAGAAGCCAGACGGGACGCGGGTAATGATTGAGACAGTGGAGCCTCGGGACCCGAGGAACAGAGCAGTTATCGCTGTGGGTGCGAGACCCAGTGATCAGATTAAGTCGTTACCTATCTCCGGCCGCGAGGTGCGATTTCGCGAGAAGAGATATGGACCAGTGCTCACAGAGGAAGAAGGTCGGATCGTGGAGGTGGAAGATTTAGGGAGTCGGCTAATAGTGGACGACAACTCGTACCCAAAGGAAAGAGATGAGGAATTTGGCGGTGTGGTATCCGTGTCTTTTTTAAGGGCACGACTACCCAAGCGACACAAGCGAGTAGCTCAAAAAGTTAAGCCAGCGGCGGTGGGCCGCGAGCGAACGGCACTGGAAGGGGTATCAGAAGAAGAGATCGCGAAAGAAATCAAAGAAAGAAAGAGAAAGGAGCCGCAACGCCTAACGGAAGAGAGGATAGTAGGGATGAACATCGGAGATGAGAATTTGACCGCACAGGAGCGAGAACGTGTGATAGAAATCCTGAAGACATGTGATAAGGCCATAGCTTTTAGTGACGCGGAGCGCGGTAGGATTGACCCTCGATACGCTAAGCCAGCAAGGATTTACACGATACCACATGTTCCCTGGAATGACGCGGGATGGAAATACGCCCAGAAGGAGAAGGAAAAAGTTATCACTTTCCTGAAAGAAAAGATGGTTTCCCATGTTGCGGAGCCGTCTGATAGCACTTATGTTAATCGATGATTCTTCCTACGAAAGCCGAATGGCAAGATCTGATGGATCCAGGACCTTCAGAAGGTTAACGCGGTGACGATACGAGACGTGGGCTCCGTGCTACACGCCGATTTACTGACAGAAGGCGCCGCAGGTAGGTCGATTTATTCTGTCTGTGATCTGTTCTCAGGCTATGATGAGGTACCGCTTGACCCTAGAGACAGGCACCTCACGGCTATGCATACGCCATTGGGACTAATACAGATGATGGTTGTCCCTATGGGTTGGACTAATAGGGTAGCCGTTTTTCAGAGAGCCATGGTAGCCGTCCTCAAGGACTTCATCCCTGATAAGGTTGAAGTTTTTCTGGATGACTTTCCTATAAAAGGGCCAATAGACAGGGATGAGACAAAGGTTGTACCTAAAGTTAGAAGATTCGTCGAGCAGCACCTAATAGATATTTACGCGGTACTCGAGCAACTGGACGATGCGAATTTAACAGTCAGCGGAACAAAGAGCCTTTGGGCCGTCTCGACTATTAAGATCTTGGGCTTTATATGTGACTCGAGAGGGCGCCGAGCAGATCCGGCGAAGTTAGACAAACTTCTGAACTGGCCCTCACCGTTACATAGCCCAAGCGAGGTCCGGCAGTTTCTAGGAGTGGTCGGTTACTGGCGTATATTCATACGGGGGTATGCGGAGAAGGTTGAGCCGTTGAGGTTACTCCTTCGAAAGACAGAAAACTTCTATTGGAATTCTTCGCAGGAACTCGCTATGCAAGAACTTAAAGACGAATTTAAGGAAGGAGGACGCGTGTTGGGTGTGCCATTCTTTGACGATGAGACCAAAAGACCCTTCATAGTATCCACGGATGCTGGCCCATGTTCAGTGGGTGGTTTGTTGTCTCAGAAGAACGCTGGAGGGAAGGAAAGACCGTTAAGATTTGAGAGTAGGACACTTAATACAGCTGAGCGTAACTACAGTCGATTCAAAAAGGAAGTGTTAGCTGTTCTCCGGTGTCTAGACACGTTCAGACACTATATCTATGGGCGACGGTTCATCTTGAGAGTAGACCCCACCGCGGTTGCCTCTGTCCTCCAGAAGGACTTTAGTCTGACGGACCCGACCATCGCCCAATGGTTAATACGGATTCGGCTATATGATTACACGGTTGAGAGAGTATCTGGTACGAAAAATGCCGTGGCAGATGGACTTTCACGCATCCCTTTCGAGCGTCCGATAGTAGCTGCGGCTCTGACAATGGCAGAACCGAGGCGCGCCAAGAGATTTCTAGTTAATCTTTACGAGGGCAAGTACCGAATGATCGGACTACACCTGACGGGAAAGGAGAGTCAAGATTCATAAATTCGGAGGCAAGCAGCCCAGTACTGCCTTAGAGCGGGCCACCTTTTCCAAAGACCAGTAGGGTCGGGAATGCCCTTACGAGTAGTCTGTGATCCTGAGGAGAGACAGACGATAGTTGCGGAACTTCACGACGGGGTAGTCGGAGGACACAGGGGAGTTAAAAGAACCTACGAAAAGATACGTCGGCTGTACTGGTGGGAAGGACAGTATAAGGACGTCGAGAGGTACTGTATGACATGCGAAGAGTGTCAGAAGAGAGCTCTTGTGAAATACAAAGAGCCACTTCATACATCCTATCCGACCAGACCAGGAAAGAAGGTACACATCGATCTAGTGAAAATGCCGAGAGGGGTAGGCAATATGAACTACGTCGTGAACATACGAGACGATTTCACTGGGTTCGTGGACGGTAGACCTATCAGGAGTAAGGCGGCAAAGGAAGTAAAGAACTTTGTCCTAGAATACTTATCTAGGTATGGTTGTGTCAGCAAGATAGTAATGGACAGAGGAGCAAAATTCCTAGCCGACGAGGTTCAGAGTGTGTTTAGGAAAGCCGGTGCGAGAGTTTCGATAGCCACCGCCTATCACCCACAATCGAACTCCCCAGTAGAGAGGGGACACCAGACTCTGATAGCGTCACTATCCAAGTGGTGCAAGGGTAAGGACAGTGATTGGCCACGATATTTTCGATACGCAATATGGGCGGACAACGTCGCGGTCTGGGCTAGTACCGGATACCCACCGTATACCTTGTGGTTTGGGCGACATTGTCCGCTTYCCATAGAGTTTCACGTCGACAGCTGGACAACCGTCGACTGGGCRGAGGAGATGTCCAGAGAGGAACTCTTAGCTGCCCGAACAAGACAGATAGCCTACGGGTTGGAAGACAACCTCATGACAGCAGCCGATCGTCTGGCGGCGGAAAGGGACAAGGGTAAAGAGAGATGGGATAAGAACGTCCGAATCAGGAAAGAGAGGGTGASCGTAGGAGATATGGTCCTTCTCTACGACGCGGCACTAAAGAGGACCTGGACCGGAAAGCTTGCCAATAGATGGATGGGACCTTACAAAGTGGTTGAGGCACTTGACTGGGGTGCATATATGATAGCAGAACTAGACAGATCTAAGTGGAAGGACCCAATGGCGGGGGCTAGGTTAAAGCTGTTTAGGCCCAGGCCCATGCCCGCTTTATCGCTAACCAGCCCGAAAGGGAAAGGGAAAGCCATGATAGAGGATGGAGCGCCCTTGAGGCAATTCGAGGCAGGAGAGAGTTCCAAGAAAAGGAAAAGAATAGAGAAGAGAAAGGTCAAAGGGGTAGCTTTAAGAAGAAAGAAGAGATGGGTATTCGTGCTCATGCGAGCTAGACGGAGAGTTCGCGTTAGACGTACTGGCGGGTCGACACCCTTCTCAGGGCAAAGACATAAGAAAAAGAGGATTGTGCCGGGACCAAAAACCAGAAGAAACAGGAGAGTCAAAAAGCATCTTCTTAGCCCCAGGACTCATAACAAACTGAAACATAAGACAATTGAACGCCGACGTGGGCGTCCTTTAGGGGCTATCACCCTGAAGCTCGTCCGCTTCGTCTGACATAAGTTGCTAGGGGCTCGACGGGGGCGTCGAGAAGTGGTCCGGGCTAACTGTCAGGCGGCCACAAGCAGTGCGCCGTCTGAGATCCGCAGTTTTGGGACTTAGGCTCAAGGACAAATCCGTGTTTTGATGGTAGTCTCGTATGACCAGGCAACAAAAATTAGGGGAACTCAGGGCACCCCTGATTTTGGGCGCACTGAGCCTTATGAGTAACCCTCAAAGATGGCGAGATGGGTGACCGGACTTGGCATGTCTAGGGACTGTCATTTCCGACCGTTCAGAGGGTTAGACCCGGATTGACCTGCCGCGGAGAGGCATCAAGGGAGTTGACCTCGCCGCAACGTTTTTGCAACATACGACCAGGGCGAAATGGGGCCTCAAATTTTTGTCTATTTTAGTACCGTAATTAAAGATGGGAAGAGGGGTTAAGACCAGTAGGGGAGAATAGAAAAACATAATATCCCTTAATTTCTTTATTTTTCACAGCATTTAATTCTAGGGAGAATACCCTCGTTATTTTATTTTCCCGACAATTAAATTAAAAACATAGAAAAAGATTAAAAATGGTAAAAGAGAAAAGAAACGAAAGGAATTCGGCCATTTATTTAAACTTTCTCAGAATTGAATTTTATGGAACTTACGGTTAATTTACTATTTCCGACAACAGAATTAAGGAAAGGGAAGAATGATTAAAAACGATAAAAGGGACGGAAACCCATGACTATTGGGAAATTGGCCTAATTTCGCCTTGATTACCCGCCATCAGCTCTGACCCCGGATTGAGCATTTTCCGCGGATTTTATCAGTTTTCACTACTGCCGATGACCGAGGTTCCCTGCGTCGCTTTCCCTGGTTTGCTTGATTACTAACACTACCGTTGTTGGGACGTTCTGAGAGCGGGAGACGCATGGGCAGGTGCTACCTTGGGTCGACCATGGTGTTTGGTTCGGTACAGATATGAGGCTTGTTACGGAGTGGCTACGTCCTATGGTGTCTGACGTGCTTCAGGTACGGTATGGGCTTGGTGACACCTGTTTCACTACGGTGACTTATTTTCAGGTTTGGGACAACTGCGGTGATTTATTCTCAAGACCGGGGCCACTATGACAGTTATTCCAGGTTTGGGACCTTGGCGGCAGTTTGTTTTCAGGTCCGGAGACGTTGCGGCATCCTATATCAGGTTCGGGACCTCTGTGGCGATTTATTCTCAGGTCCGGAAGCACTGTGACGATCTATTTCAGGTTCGGGACCTCTGTGGTGATTTATTCTCAGGTCCGGAAGCACTGTGACGAT